CGGCTGAAAATTATTAAAGTGCATCAAATCGATGAAACGTTGAAAATATAATACTGTGCTTTGAAATTATATAGCTCCGGTTAAAAATTGTTATAGTGCATCGAATCCATGCCAAGTTGAAAATATTATACTGTGCTTTGAAATTATATAGCTCCGGCTGAAGATTAGTAGAGTGCATCGAATTCATGCTACGTTGAAAATATAATACTGTGCTTTGAAATTATATAGCTCCGTTTGAAAGTGATTAAAGTCCATCGATTTCACGCCACTTTGAAAATATAATACTGTGCTTTGAAATTATATAGCTCCGGCTGAAAATTATTATAATGCATCGAATCCATGCCACGTTGAAAATATAATACTGTGTTTTGAAATTACATAGCTCCGGCTGAAAATGATTAAAGTGCATCGGTTTCACGCCATTTTGAAAATTTAGTACTGTGCTTTGAAATTATATAGCTTCGTTTAAAAATTGTTATAGTGCATCGAATCCATTCCAAGTTGAAAATATTATACTGTGCTTTGAAATTATATAGCTCCGGCTGAAGATTAGTAGATTGCATCTTATCCACGCTACGTTGAAAATGTTATACTGTGACCTGAAATTAAATAGCTCCGGCTGAAAATTATTATAATGCATCGAATCCATGCCACGTTGAAAATATAATACTGTGTTTTGAAATTATATAGCTCCGGCTGAAAATTATTAAAGTGCATCAAATCTATGAAACGTTGAAAATATAATACTGTGCTTTGAAATTATATAGCTCCGGTTAAAAATTGTTATAGTGCATCGAATCCATGCCAAGTTGAAAATATTATACTGTGCTTTGAAATTATATAGCTCCGGCTAAAGATTAGTAGAGTGCATCGAATTCATGCTACGTTGAAAATATAATACTGTGCTTTGAAATTATATAGCTCCGTCTGAAAATGATTAAAGTCCATCGATTTCACGCCACTTTGAAAATATAATACTGTGCTTTGAAATTATATAGCTCCGGTTAAAAATTATTATAATGCATCGAATCCATGCCACGTTGAAAATATAATACTGTGTTTTGAAGTTACATAGCTCCGGCTGAAAATGATTAAAGTGCATCGGTTTCACGCCATTTTGAAAATTTAGTACTGTGCTTTGAAATTATATAGCTCCGGTTAAAAATTGTTATTGTGCATCGAATCCATGCCAAGTTGAAAATATTATACTGTTCTTTGAAATTATATAGCTCCGGCTGAAAATTATTATAATGCATCGAATCGATGCCACGTTGAAAATATAATACTGTGTTTTGGAATTATATAGCTCCGGCTGAAAATTAGTAGAGTGCATCGAATTCACGCTACGTTGAAAATATTATACTGTGCTTTGAAATTATATAGCTCCGGCTGAAAACTATTATAGTGCATCGAATCCATGCCACGTTGAAAATATTATACTGTGTTTTGAGACTATATAGCGCCGGCTGAAAATTATTATAGTACACCGAATCCATGCCACGTTGAAAATATTATACTGTGCTTTGAAATTATATAGCTCCGGCTGAAAATTATTACCATATAGTGCTTCGAATCCACGCTACGTTGAAAATATTAAACTGTGCTTTGAAATTATATAGCTCCGGTTGAAAATGATTAAAGTGCATCGATTTCACGCCACTTTGAAAACATAATACTGTGCTTTGAAATTATATAGCTCCGGTTAAAAATTATTATAGTGCATCGAATCCATGACACTTTGGAAATATAATACTGTGCTTTGAAATTATATAGCTCCGGTTGAAAATTGTTAAAGTGCATCGAATCCATGCCGCGTTGAAAATATTATACTGTGTTTTGAAATTGTATAGCTCCGGCTAAAAGTTATTGTATTGCAGCGAATTCATGCTGCGTTTAAAATTTACCCTGTGCTTTGGATCAAGAGAGATATTGTAATTTTTATTATTGCTATAGTGGTTATTCCGTATATAATATAATAGTTTATAAATTAATGGTGGTTTCTGAATTAAGATATAACTAACTGGTTTAGTAATCATACAATCAATAAAGTAAAAAGGACAATTGAATAGAATAAAAGACGTGTTTGTAAATTGAGACCATAGGAAATGATCGGCAGGTAAACCAGCGAATCAGAGGCGAGTATAAATACAAATTTTTTTATAAAGACCCTGGCTGTGGCTGAGCTATCCCAGCTATAGACACCTCAACATAAGGAGGTTCATTACAGTATGTACCTCAGATATACATTCAGATATGGTTTCCATTAACTTATCCAGTTTGTATTGTGTATTGGGGACATGAATACAGATAAGGACTTCTAGTTATCGATACAATAATACAATTATAATTACAAATCAAATCAATTATAATTCAGTTATAGGTTACAGACATTATTTATGTGTATATATTGTTACGCAATCTCCTATATGCGTGTATGTTCGAATCACAGGATTTTGTAAAAATGAAACAATGTTCTTAATTAGAGAAACTATACTTTATAGTATCAAAAATAACTAGTAATTACTAGGAGCAAATCAGGAAAACACAGCTTCACTCCAACAAATTCCAACTAACTTTTTTATAAAATATCAATTGACATAATGATTAAATAATATTTAAACATTCCATTGCTAATCTGATCAAATTCGTAACAGGCATTACCATATCGATGCAATAAGGTGCCAGCCGTTCCAGATGCATCACTTTCATTCCTGCTCTATGATGCCCCGACTTGAATTCGATAAAAAACATCATTGATCTTCGTTATTACCCTATATGGTCCTTTCCAATGGATCTGTAGTTTTGGAGACAAACCTTTCTTCCGTTGAGGATTATAAAAAATCAAAAAGAAAAATACATGTGGAATTATGTCGTGCAGACCGATAGGCGAGTAGGAACATGGGAATATGAACGTCCCAGTCTTTCTGATTCTTATCAACCACTTTCCTGAGGTACTCGTTCAATGTACGATTAAATCGTACATTGAACGTATGTATAGTTTCTTTATGTATAATTTCTCTAATTAAGAACATTGTTTCATTTTTACAAAATCCTGTGATTCGAACATACACGCATATAGGAGATTGCGTAACAATATATACACATAAATAATGTCTGTAGCCTATAACTGAATTATAATTGATTTGATTTGTAATTATAATTGTATTACTGTATCGATAACTAAAAGTCCTTATCTGTATTCATGTCCCCAATACACAATACAAACTGGATAAGTTAATGGAAACCATATCTGAATGTATATCTGAGGTACATACTGTAATGAACCTCCTTATGTTGGGGTGTCTATAGCTGGGATAGCTCAGCCACAGCCAGGGTCTTTATAAGAAAATTTGTATTTATACTCGCTTCTGATTCGCTGGTTTACCTGCCGATCATTTCCTATGGTCTCAATTTACAAACACGTCTTTTATTCTATTCAATTGTTCTTTTTACTTTATTGATTGTATGATTACTAAACCAGTTAGTTAAATCTTAACTCAGAAACCACAATAAATTTATAAACTATTATATTATATACGAATTAACTACTATAGCAATAATAAAAATTACAATATCTCTCTTAATCCAAAGCACAGGGTAAATTTTAAACGCAGCATGAATTCGCTGCAATACAATAACTTTTAACCGGAGCTATATAATTTCAAAACACAGTATAATATTTTCAACGTGGCATGAATTCGATGCACTTTAACAATTTTCAACCGGAGCTATATAATTTCAAAGCGCAGTATTATATTTCCAAAGTGGCATGGATTCGATGCACTATAATAATTTTTAACCGGAGCTATATAATTTCAAAGCACAGTATTATGTTTTCAAAGTGGCGTGAAATCGATGCACTTTAATCATTTTCAACCGGAGCTATATAATTTCAAAGCACAGTTTAATATTTTCAACATTGCGTGGATTCGAAGCACTATATTGTAATAATTTTCAGCCGGAGCTACATAATTTCAAAGCACAGTATAATATTTTCAACGTGGCATGGATTCGGTG